GAATAAGCCAAATCAAGTACATTAAAGAAGTATTAAAATGATTCAGCTTAGAGGGGTGCAAGTCCATTGAAACACCTTTGGAGGCCAATTTAAAGTTGATGAAGCTCACGGATGAAGAGTATGCACAAGTTGAAGGTGAGATGCAAAGTATTCCATATAAAGTACTAGTAAGCTCACTTATGTATGCAATAGTGGCCATAAGAGTGGATCTTGCATTTAGTGTGAGTGTTGTGAGCCAACACAAATCTAAGACAGGACCTCTACATTGAACAATAGTAAAAAGGATATTGAGATACTTGAAAGGTATAAAGAACTTCAAATTGTACTTTTGTGGTAAGAACATTGATTTGATATATTATTAAGATGCGGATTGGATTAGAGATGTAAATAATAGAAGATCTATAATAAAAATATATATTCTTTATTGAAATATGAGCTATTTTATGGAATTGCAAGAAACAACTTATTATTGCAAGATCAATCATAGAAGTTGAGTATATAGCAACAAGTCATTGTGCAATAGAAGTATATTGGATAAGACAACTTTTAAAAGACAGTGGATTAATGCAATTGGAAGAAACTCCAATAATGTATGACAATTAAGGATGTCATGCATTTGCTAATAATCCAAAGCACCATTTAAGAACCAAACACATTAATGTTCAACATCATTTCATATGAGAGAAAATTGAAGATGGAGTAATTAGTATGAAGTATTGTACTACAATAGATATGCTTATTGATGTGCTTACAAAAGCATTGATAAAGGATAGACACCACAAGTTGATAGAGGTATTAGGCTTAAAAGCCTTTTGACAATTAGCAAAGTGAGAGTATTGAAGATCAATAAGATCTTGCATAATTGCCACTACAAAGAATTAAAGCATAATAAATTGTTAATAGTCAAAAGATAACAAAAGATTAAAAGATGTTAATATGGTGGCGACTAGAATTTTAGGTGGTAGCTAAGTTAAGATGAATCTAGGATTTAGTTGGATGGAAGAAAGAAAAAAAGATGAAAATGATTATAGATGAAGTTCATTTAAAATCGATGTAAATTTTATCTATAAGTAAAGAATGTTGGAAGTGAGAGTCATCTTATTCCATACTTCACTTTGTATGCAATCTTGTTGGTGTTAAGTATTATGGCTTCTAACTTCTCTTTCTTCAATATGATTATTGTAGATTTGGAACATTTTTTATTTGTGAAAAAATTAATCTTATTACTTACCAATTATACCTAAAAGAATCTATGAAAATACATTACATATGCTATGTGTCTCTTTTTGAACCATACAAAAGAATAGATATATCAAGAAGATGACAAATGCCATTTCTTCCTATCGAAGTGAATAATAAATAAGAGTATGAGGTTGAACAAAGATTAAGTGGCTAAATGGCTGGCCAATTGTAATCAATTAATCATTTATAAACAAACCATGAATTTGATTTATTGACACATATCAAAGATTTGTAAAGACCAATTGTAAGTATTTCATAGCGCGTCAAACCATGAATTTGATTTACTCAATGCCTGTGGCTATTAACCAATGCTAGTAGTATGACACTTGATATAACTTACAAGTTTGGCCACTGAGTACAAGTTTAACAATAATAATATATTATAGAATAAAATAAATTCTAGCTTGAAAATGCATTGAACACCTAGCTATGGAAGATAAATAGAAAAATACAACAAGACTTTGATAAGTCTAATAGAATCTTGAAAAAAAATTAATTAAAACTTAACAAACATAATCAAATTTAAATCAATTCAAAAAAAAATTAAAAGAAATTATTAAATAAATATAAAGATGTCATAAATTAAATTTTTAAAAAATAATAAAGAAATCCTAAAAAAATACTAAAATAAAATCCTTAAAAAAATAAAAAAGTTTATTTAAGAATATTAAATATTAAAACCTTTAAAAAAAACTTTTAAATACTAAAAATATAAATTTTAAATAAATATAACAAAAATCTTAGATAAATTCTAATAAAATCTTAATATAATTCTAAAAAAATCCTTATGAAATTTTAATAATCTTAAATAAATTCTAAAAAAATTCTATCCAAATCTTAATCAAATCTTAATGAAATCCTAATGAAATCCTAATGAAATCCTAAAAAATCTTAATTAATTATAGCTAAAATCAAATAAAATCCTAATAAATTCTCACCAAATCTTAAATCAAATATTAAATCTTAAAACAAATCCTAATCAAATCCTAATCAAATTCAAAACTTGAACCAATTCGTAAAAAAATCCAAAAAAGTCCTTAATAAATCTTAATTAATTCCTATAGCTATTTTAAAATCTTAGTAAATATTAATTGAATCATTGATCTTAATTAAAATTTCATCCATATTCAAATTACAAGCAATTAATAAACACACAAAATTTGAAGAAAATCAAACTCACCATGTAAAAAAACAAAACTCCTAAATGTGTTGGATATCAATTGCACTCTTTCTCTAATCTAGATGTTGAGATTTTAGCAACAATTTTTCTTTGTTGAATTATTCAATTGTTTCAAAAATTGGTTGGAGTATAGATTTATAAGTTCAAATTACTCTCGCCAATTTTTGCCTCAATTAAATAAGTACATTTTACAAGATTGCAAAAACCCTCACTAATCCTAAATTTCAAATATCTAAGATCTTAATGCAATAATTCTCTCTTATTCTTTAATCTAAAGTTTGATCAACATTAAATTTTTTAAAAATATTTAAGACAAATATAATGATAAATTCATAATATTTTACTTGTAAATGTGCTACAATACTTACACAATCTTCAAATTTGAAAACCCCTTTTTATTTTTCAAAATCCAAAACTACTAAGTATATCTCTTACTTTGAAAAGCTATCAAAAATTTAATATACCTTCAAATCACATAATATTAACTTGCTAAAAACCTCTCATAAGTCTAGTCCCAAATTCCTTCCTTTGATCTAGTAAAGAATACTAAAATTGCCACAAGTACATGGTTTTGTGCCTTGGGGTCTTATTTCGACTCTAGGTTTACAACTAATCCTCTCTAGATATTAATTCTTATTATTTTGAGGTAAGTTTTGCTAAAATATTTTCTTAAATATTTTCTTAAAGATGCCTATATAATTTAAATTATTAATCTATTTTATTTTGTTTAATTTATAGTCTTATAAAATAAATAGAAATCTTTTTTATTAATAAAAAGGTAACACTAACACTAAAAGTTTTTACTACCATTCTATCATTTATTCATGTTTTGCTACTATATCTTCCTATTAGGTTCTTTTCTAATAAAATTCATATTTTTATCTTTTATCATGTAGTCATATTACTATACAATAGTATATAGTAGCAACTCAAATAGAAAATCCAAGAATATAGATGAATCACAATACATAATCTTGAAGCATTTTGTTAAACATCCACACCTTAAGAAAAGATATTCCACTCACACCAACATGGTAGATTGCTTGGTTTGTGTAAAATCCACATATAAACCTATTTTTGACATTTATCAATATGCATCAAAAATCTAGCATAAGTACTACCTTATGCATTATAGATTTGTTGATGCAATAAAAAGAATTATATGGTGGACATGAACCACACCATAGTGAGTATTTTTAAATATGTAATTCAAACTCAAAAATTTCTATGTGTTGCAAACCTCTTGAAAATAAAACATCAGATACTATTACAATGCCAACAAAATTAATAGAGATACAATAAGGTAGAGGGATATTTAAGGTTTGAAAAAAATACTTAATGGACAATCAAGATATAACATAATATATAGCAGGTCTTGTGCAATAGCACCATGAATCAAGCTAGTATTGGACCAAAGGCTATGTAATTCTCATTGAATAATAAATTAATCTTTATTTATTTATTTATTTATTTATTTATTTTTATCATTGTGAATGTTGAGTCCAATCTTATAAGGTCATATCTTGTACTTGTAAATAACTTCAAAAGCCAAAGTAACATTATTATATAATGCTTTTATAGTTTTAAAAAATATATATTTTTTATTGATATTATTGGTACTCTTAATGATATAAGTTTATATTAGAAAATTAGTAAAGATAATTAAAAGTTTTGTTTTATGTAAAACATTTATGTTTATATTAAAGTTGGTTATTTAATCAAAATGACATTTATTTGTTTATATATATATATATATATATATATATATATATATATATATTTATATATGCATAGGTAATAAAAAGTAAAAAAATATATAAAATATGTATTTAAAATTTTAATTAATTACATGATTTTTAATTTAAAATTTTAAAGTAATAATTATTTTATTAAAAAAATAACACTAAATTGTTACTATAATTTCTACTAAGATATTTTTATTTATTTATAAATTGATCGAATATGTATTTAATTTATATTTTTTTATTCATATTATTTATGCCAAATTTAATAATATTTTTAGAAAAATATGTTATAATAATTTATTGAATATAAAGGATACCAAACTTTGTCATGTTTTAAAAATATTTTGAACATAATTCTATTAGTTAAAATAAAATTAAACCAAAATCAAAATTACCAAATTATAAAAAGGAGGAAAAAGATGAAAAACTATTTCTTAAGAACACCTAAAAATGAATGTTTCCTTTCCTTCTTTCTTTCTATCTTTTACTTGTTTGTTTATGTTTTAAAATAAAAGATTGTCAAGGATATGGCAAAAATATTTTCCAAAAATATTTTTAGAAAAGTTAAAATTTTACTCCTATGTGCCTTAAATTAATTTATTATATTTTTAAAATCCTGAACTGACTTTTATTTCACTAGGCTGGGGGGATCATAAAGAAAAAGAAAGTATGAATGAGGCCCTCCAAACGGGCTATTTTTAAAACATGACAAAGTTTGGTATCCTTCATGGATGATAGTATTCATCCATTATCCACAAAGTCATTCATTTCATTGTTTCATTCGTCCAAGTGTCCCTCGCCTCGCTCCAGGGGTTGTGCGGGAGGGAGGGGGGCTGATTGCTGCAAAGACGTCGTCGTCGTCGCATCCGCCATCGCCACTTCGGGGCTGGGCTCCTCCTCCGAATTCCACCCTGCTCATCTCATTTTCTTGTGTCGATCCACCCATCTGTACCTGACCCCAGAGGACCCAAAATTTCTATTGTTCGCTTTCGCAAGGGGAGACGAGAGCGGAGGCCATGGCTGCCAGAGCTTTGTATACCGTAGGGTTTTGGATTCGGGAGACCGGCCAGGCGCTGGATCGCGCCGGATGCCGCTTGCAAGGGAATTACGTGTTCAGGGAGGAACGTGAGTGCTTGATGACAACTGGTCTATTTTCAATGTTGGTTTCCGAGGTCGAGAGGTATGGTGTTCGGGAGGGACGGAATTAGGGTTTCAGTGCTTCTTTCAGTGCTTTGCGTGAATGGACATCAGGAGCGGAGTCGCCTGATGTGGGCCATCCTTCGATGGCTTCGCCGTCATTAGGGTAATGTATTGTTGCACACAGACAGGACTCTTCTTCTTCTTCTTTTTTATTTTACTACCATCCAAATCGAGTGAGCAGAGTTAATGAGCGATGTGTCAGTATTTGAATGTCGTTTCAATGGCTGAGTTGAATTAGCAAGTTCAATCATTTCAGCATTCCAGCGACTACACATTCCAAGATGATCTCTAAGGTCACTAGTCGGGGTTTATTCTGAGATCTCCGAGCTGAGTGATACATTTTCCATCCTTGCTTGAGATATTAAGAATGTGAGTTACAGCTGATTGTTTCGGCGAACTGAATTTCACAATTTGCAGCGCGTGAGGCGTATCCAGTAACGCAGAGCATTAGACATTTTCTTTCAAATCTTTCCTCATTTTTCATTAGTCTTTGTCCATGGCGGTTCTACTCAATCACTTGCATAGAAGTACCAAAATGGGGCGATTCGGAATTGGAACAGTCTCTGTTGGTACTCATGATTTTGCTGGTGAAAACCCTTGGTCGATGCCGTTACGAGTATACTAGGCACTTAATTAATTCTGGGGATATGGTGAAGGAAGTTGACTCTACGAGCAATACTTGATTCTGAGCTAGCGAGTTTTCAACATTCATGTGCTTGATAATTCGCTAGTTCAATGGTATTAGATTACTTTCGACGACAGTAATAGATGGTTACGGTTGCAACCCGTCCTGGTGTCGCCTGCTCAAACCAAGTTGCTGTCCTTAGGTTTAGCAGGTTTTGTGTGTTGCAGCCGCATGTACGATTTATTGTTCGGGTCTAGTCGAGGTCGAAACCTCTAGAATTACTTAACTCATATTTGTGTGGTGGCTCTTTCTTTGCCCTCTATGCAGTGTCAAGGCATAAGACATTGTTCAACCTTTTTGACAAAAAGCCCGTTGTTGCTGAAGACGCATTTGTTGCCCCTAGTGCATCCCTCGTTGGTGATGTCCAAGTTGGACCCAAGTCCTCTATTTGGTATGGCTGCGTACTGAGGGGTAAGTGATCGTGGTTACTTCAGCTCAGCTAGGATAATCTGAAATTACAATATTTATCTTTTAGTTTCATGTTTCAAGATTGGTTACTGGTTCTGAATTACGTCTATAAAGCGTCCCATTGGACTTGAAAGAGAATCAATTCTGTATGCTAGTTCTGAGTGATTCAACGTCATGGCAGGGGATGCAAGTGGCATAAGAGTCGGCTCTGAAACGAACATCCAAGATCACTCTCTTGTGTCCGTTGGTGGCTCTCGGTTTGGCGGTGGCCATGCACCCGCTGTAATTGGTAACAGGGTCACTATAGGTGAGTAATCAGTACATTTTATAACTTGCAACACTGTTTTTTTTTAGATTGTTTTTAGAATTGTACAATCAAGAACAATTCATGTTCATGTAAGCTTTCTTGAAGTGGGTCTGTGCACCAGCTAAGGACGTGTATGTGGGAGAGGGGTGCAGGGCATAGTGCAGTGATTCATGCGTGCACTGTGGAGGATGAGGCGTTTGTGGGAATGGGTGCTACTCTTATGGATGGTGTGGTCGTAGAAAAGGGTGCATTTGTGGCTGCAGGATCGCTAGTCACTGAGAACACCCGCATTCCTGCTGGCCAGGTCGTTACTCGCCTTGAAGTGTTTTTTTTAAGATAGGTGGCTTACAAAAAATATCGTTTGCTCTCTCTCTCTCTCTCTCTCTCTCTCTCTCCAATTCATATTTTGACATTTTAATATTTATGGATAATTCTTAGTTAGGACTCGAGTTGCGGTTTTCTTATGAAAATGGCGGTCACCAAGTATCGACATAATCCTCAAGAACTTTATTTCATGTAAACATGATTTCTAAGTATTGACTTCTAAGTATCGTTTTTGCATGTGCCTGAGCAGATCTGGGCTGGAAATCCAGCTAAGTTCCTAAGAGAGCTAAAAGGCGATGAAACCTCGTTTATCCCCAAGTCTACAGACAATTATTCAGAGCTGGCTGCCGCACACGCTGAGGCAAATGTCAAGAGCTTTCAGGCGTTGACCACTGCCCCAGAAGTGAAAACTGAGGAGCCGACTCCTGAGCTGAGTCCCAATGCAAATCCAGTGTCTCCTAGTTAAACTCCCGGCAAATCCATCCACGAATCAGCTTGTCATCAGCATATTATCTTCAGAGGCTTGTTCAATTGAGAGAAATCTGGGCATGGAAGGAGTTGTACTTAGTTATTCAGGTCCCACAAGTAGCATCATTTGATGGGACTACGTAGGATTTTGTTCCCTATACGTTGGTCGAGGCTTAAGCATGGTCGAGGTTCCTACAAATTGTTGCCGCATCTTCTACTGCATTGTTGAGTCCAATATGCAATCAATAAGTTGCTTTCAATCAAAATAGAGGTGTGGTTTGTATGTGATTTTTATTTAATTCTGTGTGTATGTTCATTTTTTTTTAATACCTGTCTGTACAGTTTCATTTTCATTGTTATAGGATTGGAATTCTTCAGTGTGGAATGCAACACGAGGTCCCCAACACTGCTGGAATGCCGTAGTGCCTCAAAGACTTAAAATTGTCTTCGCTCGTCATTTTTGTGTGTTGTTACTCTTATTATTTCCTTCCAAATCAACTTTCGAGATCTGACGTTCAATTCAAACAGCTTAAAATAGGTGAATTTTCGTCCAGTTAATTCTACTGAACATGCACAAGCTTATAATGGATTAAAAACTATACTAAATCGTAATTCAGATAAAAATTGTGTTGTTTAGAAAGTGTTGTTAATGTTTAAGCCTATTAAAGTCCCAATGCGACATTCTAACGCAAATAAAGATTTTCAATGTAGGAAACAATAATTAGGATGTGAATAACCATCAAAGACATATAATGTTAATTTAAAAGACAGTAAAGAACACAATGCCCCAGATATCACAACACAAACCTAGACCTAAAATAAATGATGAGAAGGAAAATAATTGCCATTTTACTTCAGTTTATGTTATCACTTATCAACAATTTCACTAATGATTATGCATTGTGGTATAAGCTTTAATTTGTGTTATAACCCTACAATTGGTTTTGATATACTTTTTAGTTTATTTTCAGTAAACGAGTTTTTTCAAAACCACAAGGATTAAGAAGAAACATTATTTTATATGAACAATATATAAAAAATACAAAAAAAATGGGTAAAAATTCATCCTTTTTTAATTAATTGGTCTTCTAACCTATTCATAACCATTCAAATTATTTATTAGTAACCATTTATTTATTTACATTGTGTGCTAACTTTATTTCACATTTCTAAAAAATACCTTGTTAGAATTGCTACATATTGTTATAAGCTTTGTTCATAATTACTTCAATTATTGTTAATGCAATTACATTTATCTTGATATTCTATTTACATTCTACATCATTGTTTGTATGATTAAAGTCATTGTAAAGTTGAATTTGGCTCAACATTTATTTATTTTTAATGTAGCTTATCTTATTCAATAATTGTTTCAAAATTTAACTCTACATATGTGTGTGTAATTTTTTTGTGTTTTTGACAGCCAAATTTAAATAAATAAATATATATATATATATATATATATTTTTGAATTAAAAAAAATTTAAGAAAAACATTTATTAAAAAAAAAGCAACCACAACAACAACAACTTGCAACTTGTTTCTTCATAAAATATTCATTCTATGTTTTTCAATCACCACCCTTTTTTAAAGCAAAGAAAGAGAGAAATGTGCAAAAGAAAGAAGCACATTATTAGCTAGTTATTATAAAGCTACATAATAAACTTTTTATTTTTATTTTTATTTTTTTATGTATCATAGAGAAAGTATAAAAAATATATCAAATTATTGTATTAAGTCCTTCACTTAAATTTAATGCTATATCTAATTCATAATTTTAATGAATGTGTTATTATACTATTACACTAAATTATATCAATTTTTACTAGTTTTTTTAATTATTATTATTATTATTATTAACTATGAGAAGGTATTTTATCTTAGTTAGTTGGTGAAGCACCTATAAATAAATTTTAAAAGAGTGTATATATATACTCATACATAAGACATTGATAAACTTTTGATTTACTGAAGTTTGGGTATTTGTGTACTTATATCTAGTTAAACCTTTTGATAATAGTTACTCATTTTTATATTAATAAAATTACTCATTAATATTATTTTAAAGAAAATAATAGCATATTTTTATACTCAGTTAATATATGTATCCTATCTTTAATATTCAGCTTAAATTTGATTGATTTTAATAAGAAAAAACATAGATCTTATTTTGCTTATATGGGTTATAATTTTATTATCAAAATAAAATAAAATAAAAATACTATTGCTGGATAACTCAGTTGGATATTTTGTTTATGTTTTCATTACTTACATGCTTACATAGTTTGGAAATTCCTTCAACGTCCAAATTATTTGTGATAAAAGAAGCACTCGTCCATACTTGGTAATTTTCCGATCAAAGTTTACATGTCCATTATACAATGGCGTTGTATAAATTACTCTCCAAAAGCAATGTTCAGGCCAATTCAATCAAGTTCATTATTGCAATAAAACATGTTTAGAATATTTTAATAACTCCTTCTGTGCTGACGATGTGTCTTGGGAAAGCACTGTAAAGCTCAACGTATTAGTTACTGACTCATTACATCACCTTTTGACTGAACGTGATCGGTATGATTTATTAAGATTAATTTCTCCAACAAAGATTGTGAATGGGTATTGGACAAACAATGTCAACCACATCTTTCTACAATCAAATGTTTGACAGTCTCTTTTTTAAGAATAGATTTGTCCACTCCAAGTGTCACATACTGAACACCATTGCATACCGATTTCTAGTCGTAGACAAGTATACGGTCACCACCATATTATATGCTACTAAGGTGACAATATTGTTTTATTTGATTGAGACTGCCTGATCTATTTTCTTTTTGCGATATAGAGATTGTTGGTTGGATTTATTTACTTATTGCGCTGCTGTAGCTAAACATTGATATGTTTCAAGACTTCTGGATTGATTACGTTGTGATGGTGAAAAGAGGGTAGCAGTCAATATTATAAAGTCTGATCAAGCAGATTTCTCAAAGCTTTTCATTCCTTTCCAGGCGTGATAGTATAGTGAAAGAAACGTATTACAGATTTGATGTTCACCCCACGCATACTGGATACTCGTGGCACTCAGGCAAATCAATTGATCAATTCTCGACATACAGAGGATTTTCAAGCCCAAACAATTTGCTGAATAATATTGGACCAGAACACTGCCATTCTGTGAAAAGAGTGCGAATGGGACTTTGTCCCACTGCGAAGAATACATGGGACACAAAATCAACCGCCAGTAACAAGGCAACTGGGTGGCACACTAAATCACACCTCCTGCTCTATAGACGTGGTATCCCACTCAATCGCATGTCCAAAGACACGGACTGATATTTATCCACCTGTCCGCTGCAATCTCAGAATCACTGCCCTGCGACAGGTATAAAAGAATCATGGGTAGCTTATCAGCTTCACTCATAAGAAAAGTGCACCAAGGAAAGCAGATACGAGCAATGTTGCAAGGTTCAAGCGGAGGCTGTATGCAGAGCTGTCTGGAGACTGGGGGGACATAGCAGGTCCCTCAATGGAAGCAGCAGGGGGAGTCGACACTGGGGTTTCCGATGGGGTTTCCACTGGGGTCTCAGCTGGAGCTTCGACGGGGGCCGGTGGCGACGACACTGGGGAATCGACCGGGGCATTCGATGGAGCTGAAGCTGGCGCATCTACTGGTGCTGAAGCTGGAACGGCGGTGGGAGATTCCACTGGTGCTGAGGCTGGAGCAGTAGTTGGTGTAGAGATTGGGGCAGTAGTTGGTGCCACAGTAGCCGGAGCAGGAACTGCCACAGGGGCAGGAGAGGGAGGAGAAGTTGGAGCCAACTGTGCAGCAGCAAGGCCGATAGGCTCGAGCACGTTGCTGATCTCAATATAGCTGCAGTTGTAAGGGACTGCCTTCACGTATGAAACCACGGTCGCTTGGGTGGTCGATCCGGGAATCGAAGGCTTGATCGTCACCACGCCGTCAGTTGGGCTCACTGTTATGTTCACGAATCCATCCATTCCGTTGGCACGCCCTGTGGATTGGTATAGTGTAGTGACGACACCGTCGTTCATGGTGCTTACGGTTTTTATTGTTTCGGTGTCGAAGTAGGACAACAGAATATGGTACTTCAACACGTCAGAGACCATTTGAGGAGTGTAGGTTGAGTGACCACCCAAGTAACCACCGAAGGCACCGTTGTTGATCAGCAGCAAGGTGAGAGTGTTCATCCCCTTCAACGCATCTGCAACTCCACTTGAGATCAGAGCATCCTTTTGCATAGAGAATTGCGGAAATTCATTCAGTGCTGTGGTGCAATCCTGTGATGTGACCTCCACGGCCAGCGCTATGAGGGCGAGGAGCCCGACCAGCATCTTGGATGACCCCATTTCCCTGGGTCCACCTTTGTCTGCGACCACATATTTCCATTTATTATGTTCAGTTTAGAAAGGCGAATAGAGAAGACATTCTCGAAGGTGCAACGAAGGGGTATTGATTTCAATATCTAATACTGTAATGTGTTTAAGTATGTGATTTCGCGGCGGTAATATATGGTTGTACGTGATACCCCTGAGATTTCTAATACCAGGCACTATGCGTGATCCTCGAAAACGTCTCGATTCACCGGCTATCTCAGAAGCATGTATGACATCCAGAAAATAAGTAACAATGCAATGCTAACTGCCTGTTGTGCATCAACAATCAGTGATGCTTACGCTCACATTGCCCGTTAAACCGATCATGACATCTGAAACCTATCCTAGGATGGAAGGGTGACAATCCCTATCTCAGTCATAGATCCACTCCCCAACTTCCGCATCAACATTAAAGTGGTGAATCCAAAATAAAACATCAGCTCCGATTTAGTGAACAGCACCACCGTGGCACACTCGCTTGACAGAAAACAAGTGGAGAGACAATGCGAAGCACAATCGCACAAACAGATGCTACTACACACCCCTGGACTGCAAGTGACAAAGACGACAACGCAGTGTGGTCAAGCTCGATCAGTGAGAGGAACCCACCTGAGGGAGGCGCAAGGCTGATGATATTCCGCAGCTGAGTGACAATGATCCAAATCCAAGACTGAGTAGAATGGATTTGAGCCACTGTGCCTGACTGCTAATGCCTTCCCACTGCCTTCGATCGAAGAGAAGCAAGTGCCTTCGAATGCCAAGCCAGGCCTCATAAAGACGGAAAGAGGGTGCTGCGGATCTAGCCAGGCCAGGCCGGGTCGGGTGGAGAAACAAAGCGGGTAACCCGTGAATGGCCACGGATGTGAACACATGGCCGGTTGGAGGGATGGGCCACGGGTTTGGGATCCCGCCAAACCCGTGATCGTGCGTTCCCTGGAGCAGCGGGACCATATCCTTGCCGTCGATTAAAGCATTCCAATGTTCCCTCTTGAGAACCAGCTGAGTTCCCATGAGTTCCCAATCATTCGCCTATAAGCGCTCGTCTTTGGATCCCAGCCTGGACCTTGCTCCGGCTCTTCGTGAATCAACCTGACGTTCCCGACATGGGAACATGAATATACGTATATCTGTTGGGTATTCGTTTGCTCCTCAGTTTTGGAACCGACTGGAACAAATGGTGAAAATTACTGTGGTCATGCTATAATCATTTTTAAATAAATATATAAATGTATAGTTGCATCTTTTGTACACTGTGAAGCAAACATATGAAGTCTTTATTTGAAAGGTATTTACGTTTTCTTTCTTGCCTCCGATTATTTGCTTTGGATGTTAATGATGTAAGTACTGCCAATGTTACACTCAACTCAAAGGACTGAAAACTTTCACCCATAAAACTTAACACTAGTTGTTGAAAAGGAAAAAGGAGTATTTAATTCAACACAAATTCGGTTAGGCTCAACACCCTGCAGCTGCTTGTCCTGTAACAGATGAATGGCAAGGAACTCACCACTTATTTGCTTTGTCTAAATCCAACCACCTTAGCTGGCCATGACACAGCCATTTTCGCATGGTCTGGTAAAAGATCCAATCGCGCAACATGCTCAGACTGTGTATATATATATATATATATATACACATAGGCCAACTCAAATGGTTGCCGAGGATGCGGACAGGTGCGACGGACGCCCTGCTTTTCTCGTACACAGTGGGCGAGATACCTATCCACTAGCACTGAGAGCCGATGCTGGCGATCTAGCATAGCGCTGCTGTATTGCAAGGTGCCGCTCCTGGGCTGTTGTGGCCTGCCAGGTCCACCGAACACCCTACGAAAAGGGCTCACTTGGCGGATGGATAAATTAGCTTCTGCCCACCAGCGCAGGAACTGTAGCTATCGATATACTTGCCGACGCCATTAAATTCTGGGATGCGAAGGGTCGGGATTGAGCTGCGCGGGAACAGTTGTGACCAGCTCGCTATGCAACTCTGTACTAGTTGCGCCGGTTTCTATGCTGCCAGTGGTCGTGGTGTTAGATTGCCGGTAACCGGAAGAGTTCGTCTCAGTCGCTGAGAGTGATGTGATGCACCGGGGTGCTGTTTTCGTGACTAATGGCCAGTTGTTTTCTCAAATCATGAACAGTATGTGCTCTAGTCAGCGACTGTACTGCATCTTCAACTGATCGAACTATCTTGTGTGGAACTATCGTCAGAACTGCGACTAACTAGATCATCTGGCCTCGCCCCAACAGCGGCGATTGTTGACAACCTATTTCATATTGTTTTGGCAGTTATTTTGATGTCTTCAGATTTTGCAATTGGAAGTTAGTCGTTGGTTAAACGATTTTGTCTATTTCTACCATTGTTGTACTGCCATGAGAAATAGGGGATGGAAATTGGGGGACGTTTTGCTAAAAAAGTTGATGGTGGCACGATAGAATGAGGTCATTAGCGTGTATTGCGAGACTACAGTATCAAATTTGAATATTTTTGAGCAACCAATCGGACAAGAATAGCGTCATTTTCGCATTAACAAGTGAGACTATTGTCTTTACTGTCCTGATTAACTACAGTAAATAGGCACATGAACATCATCTTTCCTAATTCTTCACATCGAACTTCTATGGTCCATTTCAAGCAACAAATTGTACACCATAATATCATGTTGTGCTGTGCAACACTACAGTCTGACAGATTCACAGCTTACCCAAGTATTGTTCACCGCCGAAGTCCGTCGCTCGTGACGGTCAGGTCCATGGACACGGCTCGACGAGCGAATTACGCCAAATACATATTGCTGCTACGGCCTCTGAACTGATGAGTTCAATGGAGGGACTTGGTAGTATTCCAATTAATTAAACTAAAACCAGGGCAGTTCGTGTAGAAACTAGCAGCATCGAAGCTTTGGATAAATGCGGCACTTCCCGGGGTAACTCGGGGGACGTCACAGGTCCTGCCACGTGAGGCATAAGGGGAGGCAGCACTGGTAATCGACTGAGGTTTCTACCGGCGATTCCACTGGAGCTTCCATTGGAGCTTCCACTGTCGCATCCAGAGAGGGAGGGACAGGTGATTCCGTTGGGGATTCAACAGTAACATCCGTTGCGAGCATGACAATCGAGGAGAGCGCTGGTAGGGGAGCAGGAACCAGAGGGTGGTGGGAACCAATTGTACGGCAGCATGGCCGACGGGTTCCAGTACATTGCTGATTACTATATAGGTGCAATTAAATTGGAATGGTGTTTGAAAAGGAGACCACCGCCGCCATGTTGCTAGACCCAGGAGTTGAAGGCATAATTGCCATTTGGCCAGTCCCAGGGTTGGTTTTGATGCTCACTTTACGGTTCAGACCATTCGCGTGTCTGGTGTTTTGGTACAACTTAGTCACCACACCATTGGCTAAGTGGGCGTTCGCGGTCTTGATATTTTCTTATTCAAAGTATGTCAGGACAACATGGTATATTAGAACATCGGCTAACGTCTAGTTATGTAGTCGTTCTGGGTAAGAAGCAGTGATAAGGAAGTTCGTCCTTTAACGTCCCCAGAAACCCCCGTTGCATTCTTCGCATCTCCCTTTGCAGAATACTCAGAGAACTCGGGACCATTTAGCATAGCGGCAAAATTTGCGAACAACCGAACACCACGAGGGTGCCGACGAGGAGGAGCCCAACGAGTACTGGGGACGGTGTCATAGTCGATTACCACCCCCGTACTCTGCAATCACAGTACGATTTCGCCTGACACATATTGCATCAGGCATGCGAACGGAAATTCGCCAGAAAATTCTGCAGAGGCAGTGGATCATACCTCTCATTTCACCAGACATTTGGCAACGGCGACACTGTACACCCGCGGTTTTGAAACCACTTAGCAGCGACGAGAATCGAAAATACCAGTAGCCCTATCCTACTTCATGACCTCCCTCAACTTCCAAACCAAAAGTATAACTCCAAGTCTAAGTTTTCAAGCACATGAATCCAGCGTTCCCGTAGCACAATCTGGTCAACAGCATGTGCGAACATGTGCCGTTCAACAACCCATCAGGAACAGGCACAAGGCGAATCAGCTAGATTTGTCACATTGCTATGAGTTCAGATAATCTGTGCCCCGTCACTGGGTGTGGCGTCGCACAGCAACGCACCCGCTACAATCTAGCCTCCAATGCCGCAGAGGCACAGATGCAAGAGCTGTAGTTAACATAACGCTAATATAAGAGATTTAGAGATAGATGATTTGCAGTCTAGGAATAGCACCCACTGAACAAGGATATTTCAAGACTCCCACAATTTAAATCAACCTACTGCTGATCCGCGCTCGCCGTCCGCTGTCAGGAATCTCCGTGGAGAGACAATATGGGAATGCTCCGGTCTGGGCGGTTTGGGGGATATCGAAGGGTGTACCAGATGACCGGATGACTGGATGACTGGGTAAACCTGCGAGTATCGGGGGTCGGGAGAAATTCAAGGGAACGCGGGATCGGGGGATGGGAACTCGCCGATAACGAGATTGATAACTGGTTCACACCCTGACCGTGCATGAGACCATTCTCTTATATAATTTGTCCCATTTTTAAATGAAAGTGCTATAATCGTTTGATTATTTACCCATCTTCTCACATGTTACTTTCCACATTACTTTATAATATATATTTTTTTAATTCTATATATGTGAATCTTCTCAAACCATATCTTTAAAAATAAAAACATTGAATCCAAATAGGTGGCATGAAAATTCCAGTACGAAGAGATTATATTGTATTAAAACCACTAAACCTAGGAAGAAGTTTGCAAAACTGAATTCTTGGCTGTCAAATAAATGACTTCTATGGTCTTAAATATCTTGTGCTTGAGAATGATTTGTATGTCAATGATATTATTAATTCCAAACATGTTTTTATTTCAGAGCACTTCCAAAATCAATGTAAACTTGCCTCTTTTGAACATAATATTAAAAATGAAATAAAATAGTTTTTTTTGTAGAAGTATCAAGATTAAGTTTTGCTTGCCACTCATTTACTACTATTTTTTGTGTGAAGTTAGCCATATGAATGTAGCCTCTTGGTTCTGGATTTAAATCACATGTCTTTCTAATTAAATGAAAAACCAATCAACTATACATCAGACCACTTTGTGTTTCTTAATTTCTATAGATTATGTGTAGTGTAAATAACTTTCCTAGGATGTTCTGCCATGTTTGTGATCAAATCTACTCTTAATTTTTTATAGTGAATGTTAAACTTAAAAAATAATTCACGTATTGATTTCATAAATAATTTTACAATCTTACATTTTGTGATTTTAATAATTTATTCAAAAAAAAATTTAGAGCCTAGTAAAAGTCGGATCTCTTCTATAACATTATTGTAATTAATATTTTTTTTAATGATTTAGATAGAACAGGATTATGTTTTAACATCTTAGAATTTCTTCCTAACTTGATATTTAATAATTCTCATAGGTGAAAGAATAATATACAACTTATTTATAAAAAAATCTTACTTAATTAGATTAAAGTTCAAATACAAAAAAATTAAAATACATATATACATATATCTAGATACAATGTATTTATAGGATTTTTTCTAAAATATCACTATGTTTTTGTCTAATATTCTCTTAAACTTTAAGAAAAAAATTCATAGTCATCCAAAGTATATTTTAATTTAAGTAGCATTTTTTTTAGGACCACATTACAATTAAGTGTTTTTAGACAATGGAAGTTCTTATTTCTTTTTATTTATTTATTTTTATATTTTCAATAAATAATTAATATAA